GTGGTCCAGAATAAAAACTTTCTGCAGTCATTCAAGGCTGTCATGCAAGCTGCTCTGACATCTAGATCCAGCAGATCCCCTGCGCTAGAATGTGTGTATGTTAGACAGGGATCCTGTATGGAGTCATTTGCAAGACTGGTGAATCATGGAACAGACAGTAAGAATTTTGGAGCAAAACTGTGGTTCTTCAGAAAATCTTTTCTTTTGAATAGCAGTTTGAAACTTGAAGTCTGATCATGGACCATTGAGTTATAATGCAACTTGAATTACCCATGAAGAACTAAGTGTTGTCAACCCATTAAGCCTCTAAAATGGGCATGAATAACAGCATTCCAGTATCAAGTGGGCATATGATACAGAAGATCAGCTAGACATTGAATGAGCAAGTGACTCAGATACCCATGGTCTCTATTGCTACTATAATACCTCCTGGAGCTCATACCTATGGCCTCATGGGGAGTTCTTTGTGACTAGTGGATTGTTTGACTTTGCTCATAGAAGGTTTTGCATGATATCCTGGTAACATCCAAACGTGAATGATTTTACCATTACAGCCCCACTTGGGAGTGGCCCAGGAGGAGAGGGGTGATGAAAATGTTCCCAGGAGGCAGACCTTCAAACAGTGTACCTGGTTGTTCATTCTGTCTGAAAGGAGAGGTAGCCAAAGTATGAATCTATATTGTTTCATGGACAGTGGCTACTGGTTTACATGGATTTTCTGAGACTTGGAAGAAATGTAATTGTAAAGTTGCTGACAAGGAAGTCTGGGGAAGAAGTGAATGGACACAACTCCCTGAAAGGGCACAGAATTCCCGTGTGAACAAGGCTCAGTCTCAGCATAGAAGGACCTTAAGAGTGGTCAAGATGACATAGTCTGTGGACCGTCAGGCTTCTTTGTCCAGTCACTCCTGTTCTCGATCAATGGGCTCATGAGCAAAGCAGCCGTGGTGGCAGAAATGGAAAGTATGCATGGGCTTAGCAATATGAACTTCCATGTACCATGGATAATGTGGCTATAGTCGCTGCTAAGTGTCCAACCCATCCAAAGCAAAGCCCAGCAATGATCCCCTAAAATAGCACCAATCCCAGGGAATCAGCCAGCTATCTGAGGGTACGCTGATTACATGGATCACTTCTATAACAGAAGGGGCGGTCTTTTGTTCTCACTCCACAGAACTTACTCTTCATAGGAATTTGCCTTCTCCACATGCCTTTTGCCAAACTCAGTATTTGAATTTTTATAGAATTCTTATGTCTTATTCAGCATCTTGGTATTGCACAATGCTTTGCTTCTGACCAAGGAACTTAATGAAGTGTGAAACCAGTCTCATGCTCATGGAACTCACTAATCTTACCATTATCTGTCCTCTCAGGCAACGGAAAAACCCTTTTGACAATACAGTTGCTTTGCTAAATGAATGGAAACACTCATCAGGGCCTGGGGAACGTCCTGCAAGATGCAGTGAATTCTCTTTCACTGTCAACCAATATATGTTGCTGCTTCTACCTTTTCCAGGATTCACAGGTCCTGAAATCAAGGAGTGGAATTGGGAAATCTACTCTCACTTGTTATCTCCAGGGATCCACTTGAAAAATTTGTTTTATCTATTCTGCAACTTTGGGCTCTGTTGGTCTAGAAGCCTTAGTTCCGGAGGGATGAATGATTCTGGTAGGCGACCCAGCAACGGCTCCGTCAGACTGGAAGCTGGTACTGCCGAGTGCCTCCTTATGCTGAAGAAACAAGAGGCAAATGGGGTTACTGTACTGGCTGAGATTACCAGGACTATCAAAGGGAGACTGGATTACTACTAAGCAACAGGAGTAAGAAGAAATATCGCTGGACGAAGGGCTCCGCTTACACTCTCATGTCCTGTAACAGAAGTCAATGGAAGACAGCCCAGTGCAGGCAGGACTGCCAAAGGCTCAGATCCTTCAAAAATGAAGACTTAGGTCACCCCAACAGGCAGAGAAACATGATCAGGTGAGGTGTTTGCTAAAAACAAAGGGTATATGGAATGGGTGGTGAAAGAAGGAAGTTAAAAAAGTCAGCTGTAACCACATGAGCAGTTGTAGATTCCAGATTATCAAAAGGAAAGTAGATCTCAAACAAAGAAAAATGAACATTATTCAAAAATGGGTAAAGTTACCCATGAAGTTATGTATACCCTTTTGGCGAGAAGGTGTTTTCAGCTTTGTAGAAGTGACAGTTGCATCTTATTAGGTGGAAATATCATTTTACAGTATCTTTGTCTGGAAGTTAGGTAAGGTTAAAAGTAGTGTGGATGGATGCTAAGTTGGCAAGGCTGGACTGTAGTGGTTTCGCACAGCATGAACTTAGCTACATCAGAAACTACATTTGCCAGAATTCCCTTTCCTCTTTCACGCTGGGTTACGGTTAGCCTTAAGAGAAATTCACATGAGACTTTGCAGTTCAGGCCCAGCATCTCTGGCTAACTGTTGGTGCTACTGACCCACACAGACTGCAGCCCATCATCAGACACAGATGCAACACTGCTACTGACTTCTTCACTAGATCCCACAGTTGCCCACTTCCCAGAATAAATCCTTCATTCTGTCTCTGTTTCTGCTTTATCTTCCACCAAACATTGTCACAAAGGGAGAGAAAGGTTTTCACAAAGGAGGAAACCAAGAACTGTGAAAAGCATTGGCATTCGTAGTCTCCATAAAGTCAGGAAGTCTAATTTTGAAGTTTTCCTAAATATTTTATTGCCCATTTTTCTGGGGGCCAGGGCTTAATAATCATTTTCTACCCTCTCTTCTGCCCACGTGCATACATAATGATTGTCTCCAGTTAGAGCTTGAAACCAAAAAATTTCCTGAGATTGGATGTCACATGTTTAGGGGATAAAACACGGATATGATGTGTTGTGGCTTATTTATAAAAGCCCCTTCACAAACAAGGTGGCAGCCTTATTGCTTGATCTCTATCTAGTCTGACTTGCCAGATTTACCTCGCAGAAGATCTGGTCAGAGCAATTTATTAGCATTCTATCTGTCAACTTCTGGCATGTGGTTCAGGACCTATACTCCAATATAGTTTTTCAGTTTTCTTGCACTATAACCTCCAATTTTCTGCTTTTCAGGTCATCTTTCCCTGTCAACATGTGCTTGCTGGGTTGCATACATTTCTTCTGTGTTTTCCTTGTATGCGCCCTCTACTCATCAGCTTCCCTGCCCCCACCTCCCACCACTCCTGTCAATCCTCAAGTAGCTACCATGAGCTCTTCCATGAAATATGAACCCTATACCCTGCCTAATATGCATTAACTGGAAAATTATTAATTGTTGAAATAAATGTATATAGAGCTGCTGGTCTGTTCAGCTTCAGGTAACCATGCCTGCTGTATCTCGTTTTTCTTTTTTCTTTTTATTGGGTATATTACAGATTCATTCTATTAAATCATTATATTAATTAAGCACAAAACAACCCTTGCTGGACTCCTAGAAGGATGCATGCATTGGTCAGGGACTCTGCTTTCTTAGGAAGACAACACTCAGTTACTTCCCAACTCAGCCTAGGAACTTCATAAGGCTGAGAAACCTGGGGCGCCTGCTTTCTAAAGCAATCACTTGGTTAATCCATATTCTTTTCATGAAGTAGTTAACATTCCTCATGAAGAAATGGAGGCTAGGTGACTCAGAAAAGATTAGCAAGAAAGACCCAAGTCACTCTCAAAATACTTGATATGCTGGTTGGCAGGATTCCTGTCTGCCCCAGGGGTAGTCTTTCTCTCAAAGGATAGTCTTTCTCTCAAATTCATAAGCTTCAAAAAAAAACATAAATCATTTCATTTCCATGTAGCTAAATAAGGGAAACTGTAGTGATTATTCTCCTTATTTTGTACAAAAAACAAAAACAAAGGGAAATTTACACTCCATCAGAAATTAAACATTTGGATTGAGAATCAAAAAAAGAAATGTCTGGTAAATCACCCTGTATGTTAAATCACCAATTATACATCAACTTGTTCCCTTAAATATGCTCTAGCATCAAGAAAACTTTGAGTCTGAAGAATAGAAAGCACCATAAGAGAAAGTTACTTTTCATCCAATAACACACTGTAGTAAACTAAAATAATTCAGGAGAGCTCTCAATTAATTCCTGTTAAATTTAATCTCTGCTTTTCCAATAAAAGAAAAACCACTTCTCATAGCAAAGCTACTTAAAAAAAGTCAAAAAGTATTTCATATAGCATTTTTAAGCAAATGTTTACCAAAATATGTCAAATACTGTCACAGAGAATTGGACATGCCAGAATTCTTCAACTCTTTCACTCACTCCAGGAAAATTTCAATTTGCTCTGACTCTTCTCTCTAGCCAAGTCCCCCTCAACATCTACTTTAATAAAAAGTAGAAAACTTAGAGGGTGTATTCTTCCCTTATCCCTGCCCCCACTTGTCTGTGGGTTGGAACCCACAGAATACCAACTATGCATTTATTAATTGAGTGTGATAGGCAAACTGTGCTTATGAAGCTGAGGTCAGTTTGCTGGCAAAAGAGTAGGAAATAGAAATTTCCTGGAGTGCATGCTATGTGGTTCAAGTTACCAAAGATGTCAAGTATGCAAGGGGCAACTGGGGGGGAAGACCCCTCAATGCCAGATTGCCACAACTATTTATCAAATGGCCACTGCAGCGATCACAGAATTCTAACCATCAATCTGGCAATGACCTGAGGTCAAAGGCTGGTGAAGAAACCCCCATATCTTTAAGGCGACTTTACCCTGAGGCCTCCCCTGCATAAGAGGAATTACACTTGCAGAAGAGGTTGGCACTGGGGAAGCGGAGGGCAGGTGGATGCTTCCTTCCTAATTCTCTGTTTCACTGAGACTGAGAGTGTTTCCTCTTCCCCAGTCTTCTTTCCCCACGTAAAATCATGTGTTTATTTCCAATTTCATTACCTGTACGAGTTACCAGAGGTAAAAAGATGCTTGAACCTGAGTTGAGGAAAAGAGCAGGAAAAAAGACACACCTCAAAATGAGTTTCATTTATATAATGAAAATAAATTTTTACACAATCAACGTAAACACACCAAGTTGTTTTTTTTGCAAAAAATATTTTTAAATAAATTTTTGTCTTTTTTTTTTTTTTACATTCTGATATACATATGTAACAAGGTTTGTGGCACTGTAACCAGAATCAAATCAAAAAAAAATTATCAAAGGAAAAAGGTGGGAAGGAAAGTAATTGGTTTTGTTTATCTAATTCCTTTCTCTCTCCACACTGGCAAATTTGCCCTATTTGTCTATTATTCAACTGCCAGCTCTAACTTGTTTGCACACTCAAACACCATTTTATTGCACAAGAGGCCAGTAAAGGCATATGGTAGAATGGTCAGTTCCTCGCTATTTCAAAAAAATCTCTTACACCCAGAGAAGGGAAAAAAAGAATAATCCAGAGTATGAAACACACAAAATCAACAGAATCTTTTTCTCTTTAAAGAATGTGAAGGGTTCTTAGACCACTTAGGCTGCCCTGATCTCTGTGCACCAGGGACGGCCACAGGGCTCGGCTTGGATGGTTTTTGTTTTTTCTGTGGACGACCCGGGCAGATCCCAGGCCTTCAGGTCTCAATGTCTTTTCTACTTACTTTGGGTTCTTTTTCATTGGTTTAAAGTGTAGTATCTTCGGTCTATGAACCTGCACAGACTATTTAATCATAAAACTCTACAAAGAGCCTCAAAGGAAAAGGGGAAGAAACAAGTTTTGTTATATTTTTATTGTTGGCTTAAAAAAAATGATTCTTTAGGTTCCCCGTTTTATCAGTTCACGGGAAGTAAATCTCAACGGCATCAAAAGTTAAATTCTTCTCACACTTGCTAAAAATAAAAAGGTTTTAAACAACTTTTGTTTCCATTCACAAACTTGACCCCCATCTAAAAAAGAAAAAAATAGAAAGAAAAGAAAAGAAAGAAAGAAAGAAAGAATCCATCTTCCTTCCTCTTCGTCTCCTCAGGGAGAACAGGAGTCCTTTCAATCCAGACTATTGTCACACGACCGTTTCCACGCCCATCAGCTTTGGTGTAAGGATTCGCGGTGTCACACCGTTGTTTAGGTCTTCCTCAAACTCCAGCAACTGCCCCATGAAGTTAAGGTTTGGGGAAATAATTGGTCGTTTGCCTTTGACAAATTTGTAAGCGTCAGTCATGGTCATCCGAGTGTGCTTCATCAAGTAGGCGATGACGATGGTGGCAGAGCGGGACACCCCGGCCTGGCAGTGGATGAGAAGCCCCTTCCCACACTGGTGAGCTTCCTCTAGTGAAAGGGAGAGGGGCAAGGGGTGAAGGGAGGGAGAAAGAGACGGGAGGAGAGAGATTAACTTTTAGTTAAGCTTGACAACATCATATTTTTATAGAGAAAGAATAAATCAAAATGGTTTTGAAACTAAGCATATTTCACTAGTTCATTGTGTACATTTATGTCACAATCTCCAGAACTAGCTAACAGCAACAGTAACATGAATTAGAATTTGCATTTCTCCATTGGAAGAGAAGACTAGGTGAAGGAATCATTCATAACAGCTGTTTATTTCACTGATGATGGCAGCCAACTGAAGCTAGAGATACAGCGTAATTAACTGACACGTTCAGCCAGCTACTGATTTAGCAGACCCTCCCATTAAAGATGTTAATTCCAACTGCCATGTTATGTGATTTATCAAAACTCGTGTTAACAATGTCTCTCCTACCTGTGCTAGAGAAATCAGAAATCATGGCTTGTTTCTTTACACTACAGAATTACTCTGTACAGGACCTGGTATAAAATGGATTAAGAGTTTCAACCTTACGAAACTTTTACAGAGGTTAAAGGAAGAGAATTCAATTAGAAAGTTACTCTGTTGAGCCTCGCACCAGAAAACCGCACTGTTGCCAAGTTAGCTAAAGACGTTCAACCGCCTCTGCACCCAGATGTGCCGTTCCAATGTGACAGTGATGTGTGACTGTGATGACAGAGGAATTCCAGCAAGGGCTCAGAATCCAGAGCGATTGAAAGAGGCCATACTTTGTAAGTTTTCAGATATATTAAAAGCTCAAAGAATAGTTTGTGGGCACTGCCTGAATGGATTCTTAATGACACTTCTACACTAAGAAGCATCCCAAGAAAGTGTCTCTGAAGAAAAACCAATTAGATGAAGAGCAGGGGAGGGACACAGCAAGGAGCACAGTGGTCTAACTTAGACCCACCAGTGGACCAAGAAAAGAAACGTCATGCAAATTTTCATCTTAAAAATTGATAGATTAAGCTTCCTTCTCATAGATCACAGTATTTTAGGAAAGTATCTCCCCTTTTTAATTTCTTCTCTTCAGCACACACTATTTATTGATCTCCATACCAAGGCTGGGAAGCACTTGGTGGTAAGATGAGCTCTAAAGTGATAGACTTGACCACTGGCTCTCCGACACACTAGAGGAGTGGACCTTGTGTGCATCATGTAGTGCCCCAGAGTTTCAATGCCCCTGTCTGGGTAGTGGGAGTAACACTAACTACCCAGGCTCAGGGAATATGGGAACAATGCCAGCTGACTCAGGAACAAATAAACTGGCAGAGTTAAACCCTAAACCTAGACTTTGCTTAGTTTATATTAGACTCTCAGTGATTGTTATGACATATATAAAACATGCTGTGTTTTCCCTAAAGCAAGACTGTAGGATTTCAGCTTATCCAATGATTTAACAGTTGAAAATAAAATTGTGCACAAGCAGGCTGTGATGCTGAATAATTTTCCAGGTGAAATGCTATTGGTTACTTGTTTTGTTTTCCTTCTAAAAAAAGCAGATAAGCCTGAATAATCTGTAAGGGATGTGGATGCTTTGACTGAAATCTTCTTAGAGTAAGTTAGAGGCTATCTCACGCTACTCATTAAGTGGAAAGTAATTTCCTAACTTCCTCCCACTGGAATTAAGTCAGATAAAACTACAGTCATAACATGATACATCAACGAAGTTTCTCATCGACTTGTTGACAAATATTTCTTCCTCGGGGCTCAAGGTTTGATTCAGGTATTATTAATAAAGAAGCTAAGGTATCTTTGCATCCACAAGCATTGCCAGTTGGGAAATAATAAGGGATTGTAAATGCTCCCCCAGCATGGTGTACAAAGAACCCTGGTCTCAGAGTCTGGAGCCAGGTTCTCTGACACTGAAATTCTTCCAACCCTGGAGAAGTCACTTTACTTTTCTGAGTTTGGTGACCAGGCAGAATTTCTTTCCAGACTGAATATTTCATGGTCCTGCATTAAAGGCAAAATCAACAAGGGGAATAGTGGGGCCAAGAGACCAGAGCTGCCCACTGCCCAGCAAATCAACGAGCCCCAGCGGCTGTTAAGCCCAAGGCTTTTCTTCTGCTGTAGGGGCACCAAACATGATGCCCCTACTACAGCGCTACTACACTTGCAGGCCTCTGCCTCAGGAGACTATTTTGGCTGCACCAGGTGGCTGCGCTCCAAACCATCTCAGAGAGGCTTTTGCGCCACACAGGCATATACCTGGGACTTGACATCAAAGCAAAAGCCAGAGGAAAAAGGAAAGCAGAAAAGGCGGCTTCCCCAGGGGAGACAGTTACCAATGAACTCAAAAGCCTCTTCAAAGTACTGCCGCAGGTTCTGCTTGTTGCTGTCGGTGGCCGGCAGCCGCTTGTAGTTGAACAGGCCTTTCTCGTAGTGGTAGAGGGGCAGGTGAGTGGTGACGTTGATGACGTAGCCTATGTTCAGCCGCTGCATCGCGTCCAGGTCCTGGGCATCCTGCTCGTTGCCGAGGAACAGGAAGGGCAGGATGGGCGTCAGCTCCGCGTTCTCGATGTCGGGGGTGGTGGGGATGGACTGAGGTAGCATGCCTGAGGCCGCAGACGCGCCGCCGCCCGCCTCCCGGCACTCCTGGAGCTGGAGGGAGTTGTCACAGAGGTTTTCATGGTTCTGCTTGAAACTGCTAAGGCCGCCTGGAACAAGAACACAGGAAGTGAGAATGGCTTTGTCAGTTTGGGGCTGGCAGAAAAATGCCACCTTCCCCACAGTTGCTGTTTATGTACACTAAAAACAACAACAACAAAAATCAAAATCCAAATTAAAGTCCATTCAGAACCCCAGGACAGGCTTTGGAGAATATCCCTGCATGCAGCACCTTGGATATGTGCTTCTTCATACAAACTGTGGTACAGGCATGCTCCCCTGGAAGGAATGAGACGCAGCGTCAGGCTATTTCATCAGCGGCAAATCTGATCTGCGTCAAAGAGCCGCTCGCTCAGTGGCCTCTGAGAACCCTGCGCTTTGGGAGCAGAGAAGGCACGGGTGACCTCTTCCGGCAGAGACCTTCCACCCGTTTCTCAACACTGTACGTGTGTTCTTTGTACCCTTCATGAGCTCCCCTCAACCGGAACGACAAATGTTCTCCCAATACAGCAGAGTGGTTATGAATAGGTCCTTGGGAAAAGCAGATTTCCTGGGCTACAATGCCAGTTGCACAGCTCCCTGGCTCTGTGATTTAGGTGAGTTACTTTCCTCTCTCTGTGCCTCAGATCCCCCCTGTGTAAATGAGGACAATGGCAACTATCTCTTAGGGTGACTGGGGGGTCTGAATGAATGAATGCATGTAAAGTGTGCAAAGCTCCCACCTCAGCAAGAGCAGTGTCACCTCTTAAGGAAACCAGCCAGCCAAAGACACCCAGCTAGGTGTGTACACATCACTACAGCACTCATCTGTTCTGCAGAAAAGGCCAGATAAAAAACAAAGCAAATTTTTAGACAGGGAAAAGTTATTACAGTCATCCAGTGGCATGTTAGGTAGTCATTCAAAGTTGTGAAAGGAATATGAGAACAAAGAAATGTGTTCCTGTTTAACAGTAAATGAAAAATTGCCAATTCAAAAACATTCACCTTACACGTCATCAACAGCTGGAGGACCACACAGAAAAGAACACTGTTGAAGTTAGGAAATTTATGGATCATAGTTTATCATTTAAATGTTTCCTTTAATATTTGTTAGCTGCATCGTACCTATGGATAAGCCCAAAGGATTATTATGAGGGTCAAATTGCACCATATAAGGGCGAGGAAATCTGAGTTGATGTTATTACTACCAAATGAGCTCTGATTCTAATCAAACAACTAGATATACTGGCCTTCCCTTTGAAAAGAGGGGGAAGCTGGGGACCTCCAGTAAGCTGAAAGCCATCAGAACACACTGACCCCCTAGACAGATGCCTTCCGTCCACCCATTGTTTCGGGAGATAAGACAGGAAACGCAAAGTGCGAACAGCCTGTGGGGAAATAAGGGCAGGAAGTCCACCTGCTCACTTAGTTGCTGAACCTGACACACGCATTTCTCCATGTCAGGTCTCATTTTTGGCAACCACAGCAGGAAGCTCCAGACTGTATGTAACCTAGACGGAGTCTCAGGGCTGCTCACGGCCAATATACCCGGAATTAGCTGTGTAAACTAAGGAAGCCATATTTCCATTAAGGTCCGCATGACCCAAAGATCACTTAAAGGGAATATCATGATCGCTTCACTCATCGGTAAGTATCAAAACCTATCTGCTTTTTGAAAGGAAAAACAAAAGCTACAAATTCATGTTAATTAATTTCTAGAACTAAACACTGCCTTTACATATTACTAGTCTATTCTGCTATGAAATCTTGATTTTAAAAAGTTTGTCTGGGCCCAAAGAGATCATTTTTAAAGTAGACGGAATAAATGAAAAAAAGAGAGAAACTTCCCTAGTGAATACTTAAAAAAAACAAATTGAAATTACCCACTGTCACCCTCACAAGCGCCACAAAAGAGACCCTAGAATTATTTTAAATCTGTTCAGCTTTGCCTCCATAAAATCCAAGTAAACAGTTCCACCCTGATTCTGTGATGGGAACCTAATTCAATTCTTTTTCTTAAGGAAAAGGCAGTTGTTACACTTTTCCATATAAGATGAGAGCAAAGAACAACATAACAAACTCAAAAGAAATCTCTGGCGGGGGGTAGGGTAGGGGTAAGAGGGGCACTTCTCTCTCTCTTCTTATTTAGGGTACTCAAGCTGTAATTTGTCTTAGAAGCAACTAGTTTGAAAAAAGAAAAAAGTCCATGCCAGAAAACCCCCCAGACAGAAAAAAGCAGCATACAGCTTTTTAAAATTCTGTCTCTACACCTCCTTTCCCAATGACATCAGCTGGCGGCTCCCCACCTGCCCAGTTACCATAGCAGTTACACAAAGACACACAATGACATCAGTTGGCATGATATCAGCTCTTTGAGTACAAACAATACAAGAAGAACTACTTTGTTTAAGGCCTTTGGTGCAACTGTGTTCTGGGGAGCCAATGATGTAATGCTAACAGGTGGCATGGGCCTTCCATTTGCCTAATGGGGAGAAAAAGCCCATGGGGGAGGAGGGAGGGAATTGGAGACAGACAGACACAAAACGCTCCAAATCACAGGGGGTGCTCGTGGGCAAAATGAGGTGTGTATTGTATGTTTAAGCCATGTGGGAACTCTGCTCATGGAATATTTACAGACAGAGTGGATAGAAAGGAATTATTATAATGCAAACATAGTAACTGGACAAGGAAATTCTCACTGAGGGACACGAAGAAATAGTCTCCTGTTCAATCGCCAGTCCGCCGATCAGCTTAGGCCGCAGTTCCCATTAGGGGTTGTGCACATCTGTACAGTGCAGTTACAGAACTCCCTCTGGGGACGGTGCTTAACACAAAATGAGCCAGCAGCAGCCCACAGTGGTGGTTTTTTAGAGACCTGTCTGCAGGGAAGATCGTTTATTCTCTTGGAAACTGGAGAAGGGAGGAAAGAAGTAGGATTAATACAGTTTTCTCTTCCACCTACTTTCTCTCCGCTCTGCCCCATACCATCGGGCTGAACTGACGAGCTTCACCTAAGGAAGACCTTCATTTCACATGTGTTGTTACTGTATAAGGACATCACAACACAACAACTAACAACTGAAGTAGATGCTGTGTCACGTGGTGGTTGAGAATAGGGGTTAGAGGGAGACAGATGCAGGCTGCAATCATGAGTCGGTCTCCTAAGAGCTGTGAGACCTGGTGCAAATCACTTTCCCTCATTAAGCCTCAGTTTACTAATCTGTAAAGTGGGCACATCACCCACCCATAACATGTGGTTCATGAAGCATAGGTAGACATTTTGATATATAACCAGCTGTTTGATAAATAATGTCTCACTACCCCAATATCATCACCACCGTGACAACCCGAAGTGCAGTGCTTCTGAGACCCAAGTGCGTGGGTCTGAATCCCAGAACTGCCAAACACTAACTAGAAGACCCTGCACAGCTTCTTCCCTCCTGGCTCCTCAGTTTCCCCCTATTATTAAACAGAGCGAATCATGGTCCCTCCCTCAAATGCTGTTTTGAGGATCAAACTAGTTAATAAAGCACTTTGAAACCATATCTAGCTCATATTAGGCACTTTTTCCCCATTACTTTGGGAAGCTACCATTTTAAAGACTTTTTAAAAAATTCCAGTTAATATACAGATACTAAATGACAAGTAAGCTAATGTTCCAGAGCTTTTGCTTTTACACTTTTCCCTAAAAAGAACTAGGGGCTGAGGCAGCGGAGCAGTTTTAAAGTTTAAATAGTAGACTTTTATCCTAAAAAAGCAACAGTTGCCTAATCCTTCCTAGATAGTATCTGATCTCATTTTGTCTGCCTAGCTTTCCCAATCAACACTGTACATCTTTAGTTTCCTGGCTTTTTTCAGAGGAGGATAAATAAAATATTTAATTATACTGCTCTTCTTCAAATAAAACTGCTCTTATTCTCCCTCCCCTGCCCTCCCCTCCTCAGCACCCTCTCCCCGTCCCTGCCAGGCTGTGTGATTTCCTTAGGCGCACAACTTCTCCTAGTTATCAGTGCAAATATTTTCTAGGCATGAGCAACAATGCTGGGGGCAAGCATTGCAAGCCTTATCTCAAAACTAGGTTCTCTGCCCAAATTGAGTACGGTCGGCATGTTGATTCCAAACAGCAACGAGAAAGAATCCACAGTACTCCTCAAGAAAAATACGCAGACACACAACGCTCCAGTTTCTTCCAACGGGGGAGGGGTCAGCTAGGTGACAGTGCCACTGAAGCAACGGATTCTACTTTTAGTGGGAAAACTCTCTTTGTCAATGCGGTTCGGCTCGCGTTGCTGTTTTGGCTACTGTAGTCCGAAGAAACAGAACAGCCCTCTGTAATGGTAATTCCGAAGCTGGGCCCTGGGTGGCAAATGAAAGAAACCACATCCAAATACAAAATCTATGAGCAAGAGATTGCCACGTTAAAATGATGGGCAGTACTTGTACACACAAGCTTTCTGGTTTCATGCTAAGCTGGAGAGTGGGCACATTCCAGAAATTTCAAACTCTCACTGAAGGTCAGCAAATGGAATGAATACCCAAAGAAAGGTGGAGAGAGACTAAAAATGGTACTCTTCTACAAGCTTGCTGCCAGCATTGATCACCCCTTTTGCTGGCTGGTTTTTCTTACGGGTGACTATTTTAAAGTAAAAAGGTGCTTTGATGGAAGTGATTTAAGAGCACAGACTCGGCTACAGTCTCAAATCCCGGCTCCCATCACTAACCAGTTAGCACTGCCTTAGGCAAGTTATGTGACATCCCCATACCTCAGGCTCCACGTGCATAATAGTAACAGTTCTATCTCACAGGGCTCTTACTATGGATGACATGCTGCATGACTTAGATACGATGACTGTAACTCGGAAAAATGGTGGTATAGGATAGGCCCTAACGGATACTATTTCGTGGTCCTCCATGGAAACTAGAGTACATCAAAGCAGACTCTCAAGATTCTATATGCACAAGGATCCTTGTGGAACAAACAAAGCCTGGATAAATTAGAGCTGACATCAGGCTTCCAGAGCTGAAACTCTCAGAGAGGGGGTCAGAGTCACTTCACCAATTTTCGGGTAGA